TTTTTTTTCATCAAACAGTCTTTCTCTAGACAGCCAACATAGCTCTTTCTTGCGATAAGGGTATGATTTTGTTTGGTTCATAGAGGATCGGTAAGTGTTGTAGGGTGGGGCAGTGACAAAAGCTGGCGCAAGGAAATGGAATAAGTAAGGGATACCATAGGGGCCTGGGCATCCCTACATGAACATTGACTTAAGCCTTTACTCGGATCTGCTATTTGTTGCTCACCGAGGTGTTCCCTTCTTTCGGTCATTCTGGGTAAAGCTTCGAGTACATAGGGCGTATCCCCCTGCAGTATTGATGAGCTCTAAAGCGCATTTTCACTAGGAAAATTAGTAATTCTCATAAGAGCAAGGGAACCCTGTTAGCATGTTACCCGAACAGCAGAGAAACCCTTCGAATGATCATCAGGGGTTTGCTCTTAAGGACCCGACATGTAAGGCGGTACGTAAAGGAAGAGTAAACTGTAGGAAAATGTGTTCTGTGTCAGAAATAGTTTTTTTCAAGAAAATGGCAGACAATGCCAGAGAAAGAGAAAGGATTGGAAGCTGATGGCAGTTCAGTTGCCAGGACTTGACTTCGTTGGATTACTAGCCTGCTTGCATGCTCTTTTATACCATAAAGTAGTTCATTAAAACTAATACGATATTATTCCAGCTCTCCACAGAAGGTGTATTCTCTCACCAGTTCGAAGACCGTTTTCGAACATTTCGGATTATTTTGAACGCTTTAACGGAGAAGTTCTCGTACGCGTATGCAAATCACAGCGAACATAAACCGCACGATTTTTGAGCCCTTACGCTCACGATGGGCGATTGCTGTGGTACAAAAAGCAATCTCCATGTCCCTCTTTACTCTTTCAGCAGCTTCCTTCCAGAATGAGCTCCTATATAGCAAACAGGCACTACAAGAAAGACGGGCAGTAGTTCATTCAATTCATTTCACGGTGGACTCTCATCTTTTCATTTCAAGCCCAGCCTCAAGAAGTCCAACTGTTCAATCTCACCCCTTAGTGTATTTGCAAATGTTTCTAACCCTCCTATATCCGGGCCTGAGAATCATGCTCAAATACAAGCGTTTTGCGTGTAGCTGCCCTATTCATCCGTGGCTTTGCGTCACCTCTATGAAGCACACAAGCTGCTTGTCCTACACAGTTGCTGCAAAGGAGTGTCCAGAGAAGTTTTGTAGGCCCAGTGGCCAGAACTGCTCTGAAGCAATGTGAAGGAGCTCTGAAATTATACAACCAATTCTTTGTAGAAGTTCTCGAGTTGAATGACTGAACTGCACATTCAGCATTCTTTCACTCCCATTTATCCTCTCCCTTCTTTGACGAATCTCCTTCGTGATATGAATCGTGGACGGTTCCTTAAAGTTGAAGAACATCGTGTCGTGCTTCTTTTTCTGCCATTAACTCCTACATTGCTAGCTATAGTTGATCGAAAAGACAGAAAATCACTGACTTGGGTTTTTTCAGAAAGAACTATGGAAGAAACTATAGGCAGGGCGATCGAAGGTGGTGATGGCTTTCTATCACTCCTACTCATCGCCCTCTAGTAACTAGGACGTGACAACCTGCAAAAAAAGTTAGTATTTTCGCTCCGAAACAAGCAACTCCAACGGCAAATTAATAATTCAAAGGCGAAGGAGGCACGAGGATGGCAACCAAACTGGCATTGCCCATGACCGCAACCGAATCCCATGCTCGAATCACGTCATTATTTGTTCAAGATGTATTCGTCAGTTCCGAAGAGAACGAACTCAAAGCTGACGTTGAGATCGTCAACGACAGTAATCTCGCCCATTCGGCTCAGGTCGTATTCCGTGGTTACGTCCGTAACGGGAACACCTTGCTATACGAGTTTCTTCACGAACAAGTATGGATATTTATTCGGCCATCAGGTATGTATCTACTTGTATCATTCCGTAGGCTTTCGAGGGGGCTAATAGGCGTTTGCATAAATAAACAAATAAACAAGTAGATGCCCCAATTTGCTTCAAAGCGCATATTCGAACGAGAATTATGATGCAATCCTCCTTAAGCCCTAACGATGTTGCAAACTCTCTGCACAATTCTTTGGAACATTGCTACTTAACCCCTTTTCTAAGTTAACTAGACATTGCTTCTGGGAGGCGTATCATTTATTTTTTATTTTATTTTTTTTCCTAAGAAAAAGTCATTTTGTTAGCATCGCCAAATTTCAGACACCTTGTAAGACCAGTCACTTTAATATTTACCGTCTAATTTCAGAATCCAAGATCCATCATGTCGCTGTAGAGGTATGGCTACCA